AAGACATTTTGTAGCCAATCTGCTCCTGATTTTAAAAAGGCATTCGAACGCTGACCTTTTTCTTTACGGCACCTGAAAAACAGGTCACGGCCTTTTTGCTTTTATTAACAGAGAGGGTGTAAAAGTACCACTGAGCAGTTAGCGGTCAGTTCATTCACCGGTCATCTGATAGATAGCCCTCTGTAAACAAATACCAACAGACCTTCGCTAAAATTTCGAAAAGTGGAAGATTTAAAGTACGGGCAAAGAATGGGTTCCGCAATAATGATTTATTTTAATTTTATTTTTTTTATTTAAAAATATAGCTACACCAGATCCAAAAATATAGGCTATTGTTCAACTCATTATGGTTACACTATGTTAAAACATTGGGTGAATTGCATTCTAATTCTGAATGTTCATGGCCCAAACTGTATGACAAGATCAAGTCAACCAAATAATTTGCCTTGTCATCGTCACTGTTTTGCAGCTTCACCACTTTGCATCAGTGGTTATTTTCTTTATCAGGACCTGTAGATTCCCTCAGAAAAAAAAGAACCTTTGAGACACACGCTTCAACAAAACAGTTCTGTCCTGATGCAGCACCGGGATTCTCAACTGCACTAGAAACACTTGGCAGGAGCAGTGTGCAGGCGTCATCACAAAATCACATAGCACAGACATGAGGACAGACAGGAAATCCACAGGACCCAGCCGGCCTACTCGGTCAGGAGCAGCTTGTTGACCTCATCGTGGAATGACAACTTACAGTGTGGCTCTGCAGCTTGCGTTATCTCACCATGCTCGTTTTTATCATCTGTACTACTGCAATGGAGCCTGAATTATGATGTTGTAAAATCAGGAGATTCTCTATATGCATTTCACCCACCATTCAGCCTGCAAATCAGTGCTGGCTCTAATAATAAACTTGTCTTTATGCCTTTGTTTCTCCAGGTACGGTCAACCTGGGAACAATTTCTCATTAAAAGGCTCATGACTCGTGTGTTGGCCCTTTTTTTAAAGGGCTGGCCTGTCTTTCACATGTTGTCACATAAGATTTGGAAGCATTTCCAAGTTTTTTTGCTAACTCCCTATGTCGGAGGTGAAACCCCAATCACTTCGACAAAGTCTTACGTTGTTCAAAGGAAGACACACATGGTGGTTTGCACGGATATCTAAACTTCACAGGACACAGGCATAACAAATGAACCAAGGAATGCATCTGCAAAAAACATTAAGCAGTTCACTGTACCGAAAAAAGCATGCCGGATTTCTCTGATGGTAGAGCACTGCATAACAACAGAGCAAACACTTCCAGGCGGAGCAGTGGCTCTGTGGCTAAGGATCTGTGCCTGTGGCTGGAAGGTTATCAGTTGAAATCCCATAGCTGGCAGAGGAATCCTACTCCGTTGGGCCCCTGAGAAAGGCCCTTCACCCCAACTGCTCCATAAATGTATAAATGACGGACCCTGTGCTCTGACCCCAAGCTTCTTCCCTGTCTGTGTGTCTCATGGAGAGCAAGCTGGGGTCTGCGAAAAGACAAATTCCTAATGCAAGAAATTGTATAGGGCTCATAAAGTGATGTTATGTTATGTTCTTGCACTGCGTGAAGGACGTACAAAACATTTTTCATCCCACAGACTTAAAAATGTTTGTTTGGCACAGTTAACCAACTAACCATACAGTTAAGTACTGTATACTTAATACAGTATATCTGCCTAATTGCTTATCACGATGTATGGATGTCTAGTGCTAGTCAACACCTGAAGAAGGCTCCACGGCCGAAACGTTGGGTTTTCTTCCTTCTTTTTTTCAGCAGGGAATAAACCTCTTACTTGTTCCTTTGCAGCCTACGCATGCTGACGCAGCTGCCCACCTGAACTACTACTGTAAAGGAAGCTGCCTCCCATTATTCCACAGTGATGTGGTGGGCGAAGGAGAGCAGTGATGGCAAAGATGACTGAACATGTCTCCAGGTCTGGATGACCCCTGGAAGAGACCTAATGTCACTCCAGAAACAACCCTGTTCTGTGGAAATTGCGATAACGTCATATTGCTAAAAGCAAGGTTGCTGAACCTGGAAAAGAATTCATTTTAAATCAGAAGCAGTGAAACCGTTGCCTAGGAACTGTTTGTAAAAGGTTTTTGCCACATGGGTGCCCTGAAAGTGTACTGCTGTACAGAGGCAGGAACCCAGTGAAGAGCTGTTCCACTTCACTGATGCAGAAGTTTGTCTTTCATCTTGTGTCTGGCCATGAGCCATGGGTTCACCAGTGCCCCAGGCCTTAGAAAGAGATTAAAACCAGAGAAATGGCAGCAAGCAGTAAGAGATCTGATCAATCTGATCCTCAGAAGGACCGATGTGCCACCGTCACTGCATTTAAACAGTAGAGAACATGGGGTAGGTGTTAGAAATGGGACACTTAAAGATCTCACAGAAAAACAGGACACAAGCATAACATATGAATGAATGAATTTGATGCTACAAATCACTCATTTATCTCTCACCAAAAATCAAAGCGATAGGTGGTTTGTCAAACTGTAAATTAAAAAGCCTGCAGCTCATCGGCATAAACTCAATCTTGTGATCCGATGTTAAAACGCTAAGATGAAAACACTACTCAGCTAAAAAATGTAATGCATTTAATGTATGGTTGCATATTGCAGGGCTCTGCACATACTGTAGACTACATACTGTAGACTTGGTACTGTATTTGTTTTATGTCACTATTGATCCACAATCATTCTATTAAGATATGAAACAAAAGAGGACTCGTGTTTGAAATAGAGTGGTGATAAATGCATTCATTTCTCCTCTATTGGTTGTAACAAGCCTTTTTAGGATACTTCTCACTCCTGGAGCTGTGAGGGGATTTCTTTGGAAGATTATTAGGGAAACCAAACTGCCAGAAGAATAAAGACAAGAAGATAGAAGTCAAGAAAATGATGCAAGGCTGCAGACTTGAGCTCTCAGCCACCACAAATGACATGGACAGAGTCACTGGAAAAGGAAGAAAGGGATTTCTCGACTCAATCCCCATTCAGGAAATGTTAAAATCTTATCATCCTAATAACAACGAGGAGGAGCAACACACTGAGCCAATGAAATCGCACAAGTAACTGAAGAATGATCATTTCATTACGAACTTCAAATCATACACAAATAATACTTTCATGCTCTGTATTTATTAAATGTAGCCAGAGCATTTACTGCTTTTTTAAAACTGCTTAGCCTTAATATTTCTCAAGTTAAGAAACAAGTAATAGGTTTATTCCACGCTGAAAAGAGAAGAAAGAAAACCAAATGTTTTGGTGAGCTCTCACCTGAAGAAGGCTTCACAGCTGAAACATTGTGTTTTTTTCTTCTGTTTTCACCATAGAATAAACCTATTACTTGTTCCTTTACAGCCTATGCATGCTGATGCAGCTCCCCACCTGAACTACTAACAAGAATACCACTGAGAAGAAATTTATCACCGACTGTGCAGTCGAAAGTCATGTTATTCACTGTTCTTGGATTTCCCCATCAATAAACCTGGATGAAGACATTTCTGTCCCACACCCTTCTTAATCTCTCCAAGCTGGGGATCACAGACAACAGCAGCAGAAGAACCTGGTTCTTTTATCAGATGTTTAGAAAAGCGCAAAGCTTTGCTTAAAATGTCAAAAATGTAAGAACATTTTAATGGATTAAATCATACAGAGGAATTCTTCCCCCCAAAAAAAACAAAAAACTACTGTAATCCTCTATGAACCAAGTATATTATATTGTTCGTTAAGTGATGGCAATAATTAAGCTAATTTAATAGTTCTCAAACATTAGATGTTCATCTGTTACAGTCCATTCGCATGAATAGTTTCACTACTTTAGGGCAAGTGACACACCAATTCACTTCCAAACAAAATCCCAGTAAGGATTTTAAAACTTACAAAAATTCCGAAGAATTCTGCTACTCCGTCTGGCACAAGATGTGTCTTGGATCTAGAATGTGATCCATTGGGACTGCTTCTTGCAGCCTTAAACTAATTTCAAATCCATTTGCTTTATGTGGAAAAACAAACTTACAAACTGTTCTCTCTTCACTTCTCTCTCTCTCTCCCCCTCCAGATGACTTCAGTGAGTCACATACATTTGTCATCCTCTTTGACTAGAGTCGTTAAGTGGCTGTGTTGAAATGAGCACAGGGCCATTTAAAACGGGCTTTCACCCTCAACAAACCCTAAGATCAATACATCTATAATATACATTGTAGGCATCTTTAGGAAGGATATGAGCAAGGAGACGTCACTACTCATTCATTCCCAAAACCTCGGATTAATGAGACATTATGGAAAAGGGCTAATAACACGTCTTGGATAGTCCATCCCAGCCCCCAGATGTGACTGCTGTTCCCTGTCTACTTCATATCTTTCTGCTGCCCAGATGAAACTTCAGCAAGTTTCAGCTCGATTTCCTCAACGCGAACTACCTGCAGACGATAGAGCATTCACGTGCAAAAAAAAACCTTCTCAGAATCGATCAATAATGATCCCCTTGACCACAGTAATGTTTGTTCTCCCGTAAAAAAACGTTATATTCTCAGTAAAGGTGAACTGCTGGTGTTTTGCTATGCATCACCTCGCAGGATAGGTCCTAAAAGGTCGGGCTAATGCTTCATATTACCGTAGCACGATGACACTACTGCAGATGTGGCCAACGTGTCCACAACTTAATGCGTCGTTTACCATCAGTTCGCTGATAATAAACCAAATGACAGATGTCTATAGGACAGTTTATTTACAAGTCCTCAGACGTTCAGCTGTCCCTTGACAATAGGTGAAGTTCACATAGCGTCATTCTGAACAAGAAACCTAAAATCGTTTTCCCCTGTTGCTGCATAGGGTCCGAATGATTCTTCTTCCCACTCCGAAAGAAAATTAGGATTTTCACGCCAGTAATTTTAAAAAGCCACCGACCAGAACCGGCGTTTTCCCCAACATCTTTCCGATTGAAACAAATACGGGCATGAAGCCATACATACCAACCCAGGTGAATTCTGTCCGGTAAGATCGCTTTCACCTTCCAACGAAGCAGCACTTCACACAGGGGTGGAGATGTCGTGCGAAAAAACTTTTAAAGATGAAATAAATAAAACCGTAACATGTCCCCCCCCCACCCTCGCTCTAAAGTGGAGAAGGCTTTGCCGAGTTGAGCATCCGAGCGCAATACAGTGTTGTCCTCTCAGGCTGCAGGCTGCTCTTCTGAAGTCTGCGGAGGGGGGTGCGCTCGCTCAGCCGGGGTGTTTGGAGTCTCCGGTGGGCCGACTCGTGGATCTCAGCACGATTTATTAAGGGGCGGGCCGAGCGGAGAAACACCACCTCTTTCATCGTCTCGAAGGACGTCGCTGCGCGACCGCTGGAGAGCACATCATTCATTCTGAACGCCTGCTCCACTGCGTGAGGAGACGCGCTTCCCTGGAAGGCCACCAAAGACCTTCTGCGGAAACACTCAAAGCGGGATGGAAGCAGGACCGCTCTTTGAAGAACGCGTTGCCGTCCAAATGTTTTAAAACTTAATGCGTAACTATAGCCAATGGAGAATTTGTCGGGCGAGGTTAAAGGGCGAGACACCTAAACTACCGTGTCTTCATCAGAGTGTTGGACTATTGGAGATGTACAGTATTTAATGTAGATTAAGTTTTAGGAAGCTTGTATTCTGGTGAAGTATCCTCTTTTCTCTGCGAGACATGGTTGACCTCATCGCAAGCTGTATTTCTGCGAGGCGAAGACACCGTTTCACGTGAAGAGCGCCTCTGCTGGTTCACAACTAAATTCCAGCTACAGTTACACTGAGGCCACTTGATGAATTACAGTACGTCTTCCCAAAATGTAAAGCTTGGAACTGAAATCTCCATTGCAAAATGTAACTTTTAGATCTTAACTGCTTACATTCTTTTTGTGGCACGGTAATAAAGTTTAAGAAAAACAAAGGGAGCTGTAGGGGGGAAAAAAAGCTTTTAATTAAAAAAAGACACGATTGATGCATCACAGACATGCATGTTCCATATTAAGATGTAGCTGTCATTCCCACAGAATAACATTTTCAAGCATTTTCATTCAGTTGCAGAATATACCTCGTAAGCAAACATTTTATATTTCTCCCCATTATCTTAATTTTTAGGCACTTTGTTTCATTTTATCTTTCGAGACAAGGGAAAACTAATGCAATACTACCATTAAGGTTATCACTGGAAGCTTAATTTAAATCATATTCTGGAATGTTTCAAAAATGGTTCTCTCTCAACATCAGGACTTCACACAACAGATTTATCCAATGAAATAAGTATATGACGATCTCAAAATGACAAAAAAAAAAGTCTTCAAATGAACCACAACACTTCCTTCCATAATCTGATATATCTCACTTGAAAGAAATGCATTATCGATTTCTAAAGTGTGTATTTTCTTGCCCAGACAGGTTCAAATACATTATTGCTATTTCAGAACATAGAACATAAAATGCTACGTGGAAAAGGCTATACAACTAGTGTTTCACAACGGCCAAAAACAGATCTGAAGATGTTTATCCAACCGGACATGACTAATTTAATTTTCCATTGCAATAACATCTTTGGAAAAAATGTATTTTACAAAAATACTTTTTTTTTTTTACAGACTGCAGACCAGCTGTACATACTCATTAGAGCTACAGCCTTGAAGCTATAAAATAATTCAAAACCCTCAATGTTTCATCACATAAGAGATCTGTAAATGGCTGTTTAGTCATTTAAAGATTAGGTGGAAAAAGCACAAGGCTCCCAGGTCCTTGTGGTTCTCCAGGCCCAGGGGAGATATTGCTATTGACAGATAATACACATTCCAAGCCTAGAGTAAATAAACACTTCGAACAGTACTTTTTTCCTTAAAGCTGAGAATCTGAATTGAAGTTTTTAACAGTTCAAGCAACTGACAAAATTATGAGGATAAGATGCCCTTCAAACAATTATTCTACAACATATCTCAAGATTTGCCAACACAAGTTATTTTTCGTTATGCAGCAGAAGAAAACATTTCAAAGGACTAGTGGTGTACTATACTTCAAAAAAGTCCAGAGAAGGACATGTTTTTAAAATTTTGAAACAAAGATGTTTTTAAAAGTTTAAAACAAAGATCTTTTCTTCCCCTAATGTTTTAATGAGCGACATTACCAAACAAAGTATCGGATCTAACATATTTGATTAAAAAAAAGTTTCAGATAAATACTCCCTGAGAACACAACCCCAGAAACAATGTTATTCACATTAAATCAAGATTTAAAATGTGATTACCAGTCACATCTTACTTTTCATATAGAAATGCAATTCATAACCTTAGGTACAGAAAAGAGCAATTCCAGAAGCTGTGCAACATGAACAGCACATCACATTACCTCTGGAACGGTAATCCACGGGCACACTGTCCGCACGTTTCAGAAACTGTTATGGAAGTAATTATCATTTGAACAAGGCCGACTCTATTGTGTACACCCACAACAACGCTCTTACAGTACAAAGGATCTAGTTCTTAGTATTGCGTCTGCAGCCTCAGAATTACAACAAAAGACAGATGTGCAAGGTGGGTGTTTGGTTGAAAGGAATACTCTTTCAGAGCATTACAATCCCCCTAATCATGCAATCTCCATTGAATTAAAGCCTAAACTGCAAAATGGACCGTTCAGATTTTGGACTTTCACTTTTCACAGACGGAACAACAGACAAAGTGAAAAATAATTAGGACACTTCATTGCTGCTTCTTATTGCTGGACACCCATATTTCCCAACTTAACACCACCTAATAAGAGTGAAAGCGAGCACCAGGACCTCGGGTTCGAGCCCGAGTCATGGCACTGCCCAACTGTGAGCAGGATTCCCCAAGTGGAGGGCTCTGGGACACAGGAACCCCTGCGGCCCCCCCAGGAGGCAGCATGTGCGTCAGGGAAGGACCCGCCTCTCCTCCAAATGGCGCTGAACGCCACTACGTGGGCTGTGGCCCCTGTGACGCGCGGGAGGGAGGAGCCCCTGCCTACACTTCCACACTCTCCCTGTGTGCGGACACAGGGTTTGCAGCCGTGAGCCGAGACACAGAGAACACATCGACGGCCAAACCAAATCAGGTGGGTATAACACAAATAGTTGACACGCCGGCATTTTTTTCCCCCCCAAAAGAGGGAACGCAGTGTACTTCCGTAAAGAAAAAATGAATGTGACCCTTTTACACTCTGTAACACTTGCCTGGTCACATTAGAACTGTGTAGAGACTCCCCATGTGTTAAATAAATAAAACACATTTCAAAATAAAGGGGTATGGTAAAGATTGGACAATGGGCTCATTCAAGCCATAAAGGATAACACGTGAACTCAACTATAATGAACAGGTTTCTTATGTTCAAGAACAGACACAGCCTTAAATACCTGTTAAAAGGCAGGTACAGTAAGTCGTTTAAAAAACAAGGATTCTTAGTATAATTACTATAATCCAAATTATAATGTTGCTATCATCAAATTTGCAAATCATTGAGAGGTAAGGAAGTATACCTCTATTTAGACAAATGTCAATTAAAATGGAGATTAGTACTAACTTACATAAAACTGAACATGAGGTACTGTAATGTGCAATCTGACAGAGATACAAGGCAACATCAGTGTTTTAATGACAGGTTTATAGGTTTGGAAACATATTTCAAAGAGAATGGAAAGGGAAACAATAACATCCTTTAAGGGCATTTTACTTTTTTTTTATACAGCCTTAGCATTTGTATATTTTCTATTGCCTTCTAACACCTGAGGGACTAGGTGTGGCACAGAAAATGTGGATATGTTCCCAGAAATGGACCAAAAGCTGCGTAGTCGTGGATGGCTTTTCCTTTACAAGCTTCTCTTTAAGTTACTTCCATCTACTTGTTTAAAACTGGATTACAATATCATTGCATTCCTTGGCTTGATGTAATATGTAAATAATTGTACGCCGTACCTGGTTTTTAAAAAGATCACCTCAATTTACATAGAAAATAAACTAAGAAAAATACTCTCATTTAGAAAATAATAAAAAATGAGGAGAAAGAATATTTTCTACCAATTTCCCCTTAAAACTGCTGTTACACACAGAAAGCCACAATAACTGAATAAACGTTTGATTAAAAAAATCTCTTGTGCACAGCAGTTGCTTGAAGCCAAGCGCCACAACTAATCTGCAGTGAAAACCTGGCTCAGTAGCTCAGCCTTTTACGAGAAGAATGTATGAGCTGCATCAGATACAAAGCCCTGTACTCAGCACTCGGTACATTAGCCTGGAGGCGTATTTACAAAACACAGCATCACAATGAGGGTGTACAGCCATGTCACATCACCAGAAGTGTCTGGCATACTGAGTGGAAACACCAGACTAACACATATCTGCAAGACAAGAAATATAAATACTCCAGCAACTTCATCTTAGGGAGAGTAGATGTAGTGCTTATTCAAACATAGCTGTACAGAACCTACTAGACCTGCAGATTCAGCAATGATCAGAAAGGTGGAAACTGAACTACAGCAATTTCAAGATTTATAACAAACTGCCCCATAAACCAAACAGCTGAACAGATTTCCCCTTCCTGTTTGAAATATAGTATCTACATACTCCTCAGGCTAAAATTTGGGGCTTTCAAGTTTTAAAAAGGATCGTTGCCTCATCATTTTAAACAGAAAACAAACAGAAGGACAACATTCGCAAAGCCCAGTTAAAATAGTGCAGTTCACCAAGTTCAGGGCACTGTACTGAACTGCATCCCATATTCCAGCTTCTGTTAACCCCACACTGCCTGCTGGGGAAGGAGCACACTATTATAATTAGGGACACAGTGGAATTGTGCACATAATGCCATTTTTCACAGAAATAGAAAGTGGACGTTCCTCCATAACATCTGAAGTCACGTTTCATTTCTTTGCTTATGATGGTTTCAGCAGCTCCAGAAGGGCACCCACTGCTCCAAAATAGCCCTACAAGAAAAAAAACAAACCACAGTCTTAAAGCATCAACACGAGGTGTGAAAGCAGATCTGATCTCCAAAACTCTCTAAGTAACAGTGAAAGTAAAATTCCACACAGGATACATAGAAAGATTGAAATAAAGTGCTGAGAAGCAAACATAAGAGCAGCTCTATGGCACCATGCATTTCCTTTAAAGTCCCAAGAAAGACGAAACATTTTACGAACACAAAACACAATAAGCAATGTCTGAAGAGATCAGACACTTACTGCAGTTTACACTACTAATACCACATCACGCAAAAAAACCTCTCCGAAATCTTACCTCATGCTTCAGGAAAAGTGCTTTTAACTGTCCTTTTGACCAATAGTCCAATGCATACGCCAGGAGCTTCATGGAGAGGGTATTTATCCTCAGGAAGTTACCCACAAACACCACTCTGTCAATGTTCTTCACAACGAATAAAAATGAATGTTACTAGAGTCAATGCACAACATTCAACTACAGCTACAGTTACACATTAGGGCAGCTAAACTTACACAGCTTTTTACATTTCGTAAAAGTTTTACATCTATACGTACTGTATATCAAAACCACACACACAAAAGTATGTGAATTCCTCACCCCCTACAGAAACAGGAAATTTCAAAAGTTTCAGTTTCATGCAATATTTTTTCATTAAAGCATATAATCAAAATTAATGTAAGAATTACATATTTTATGCAAACTGCTTTATTAGAAAAATATAAAAAAAACAGTGGGATGAAGACTATAAAGGCTTATCAACACTTAAATACCTGTGTACTTCGCAGAAGTACTTCAGTTAATGAGTACAGAATAAATGACTGTCCTGTATGTACTGTGGAAGTCAATGGGAGATCAGCTGGTAATGCCATTTTGAAGCAGGTCTCTGTGCTGTCATAGCCCTGTACAATGCTGCTTGATAAGGATTCTACAAGGCAGCACTGTAAAGAAGCTGAAAGCAAAGAGCAAATCACCCCTCCATTTGAAGAAGTTCATGCCTGGTAAGGGCTGCAACGTGAAACCTCTCCACGTAGGTGGGACACCAGATCACTGGAGGACACACACACACACACACACACACACAATTCAGAGCAACAACTGCCCGAGCCAGAATGCCTCTGGAAGCTGGTAAACCCAAGAACATACAGACTCCACACAGAAGGTACCCCTTCCAGAATCCATCCCAGTACCCAAGAGCTGTGACAGCAGCCAGCAGCCCTAGCCACTCTGCCTCCCTTAGAGCGAACCGAGCAAATAAATCAACGCTTGCAGAGCCTCTTCAGATTATTTTTTGCTACATTTCCTGAGCCACTGCCAAGTGTCCCTCTGTCTCTCCGGCCAGAACACTTCTTTTGAAACGCCACACTTGCACTGTAGCCAGGGAATTCTCATTCACCCACAAGAGCAACACCTTCCCTTCAAAAGCATCCCACGTCTCCTAGATGTTTTTCAAAGCAAACAAATTCCTGAAATAATGCATTGAAAACACAAATTCCTATTCACGAGATACCATCAGTTGCATCACCTCTGACATGCCATGGAGTTAAAACACTGGCCAATTCAGCTGGACTCTTGGTTCAATATGCAGTGCTGCAGAGGGAATGCTAACCTCATTCAGTGCGCACATCCTTGTTATCGAACCAATGTTATTGGTAATGGTGACCAATGTTGCTCTGGCCAGGTCCTCTTTAGAAACAGATTCCCGCTTCTCCTTGCACACCATGTTCCCAAAGCTAAAGAAAAAATAAAACCAGGATTACAGTTTGTCGGTTCGGGTGAAAAAACCCACTGTGCGCGTCTTTTACAGTATGTATTCTTCATATCCTGTAAATCTATACCCAGCATAAAAACCTTAAATCTCCCTTCTCTCAATGAAGGACTTATTTCTGTGTAATCGTCTCTGTTCTCATGCCGGTTCTGACCTCACACCTCCCTTCACCCCTCTCCACTTCGCACCTCCTGAGTGGCCTCTCTGCCTCCTCCCCTCTCCCAGCTTTTGTCCTTCGGGGCTATTTAATCTTTGCTGTCCGCCCTGTCCTTCTCACACCTGAAGAAGGCTTCACAGCCGAAACGTTGTGTTTTTTTCTTCTCTTTTCAGCATGGAATAAACCTATTACTTGCTCCTTTTGCAGACTACGCATGCTGACGCAGCTCCCCACCTGAACTACTAAAGATCTTAAATATTTCTTTTTAAGCTTTATTACTATAAAATACTTAAATTCATATTTCATCGATGTTTTTGCCCTACCACATCTATTGTTCCTTTAAATACCTCAACTTGGCACAATTTGGAATTTCTGTGCCTAATTGTGCTCCCATGAACTCCACAGAATATATCATTTAATTCATCCTGAAACAAAACATAGCTCAAGCCTTCATTTCCTCATCTAAACAGTATTAATTCACTTAATATGAAAGGAATGTGCTGCTCGGCAGGGATTCCTTCAGGCTAACATGCAAACTACAGCTCCTTACTTGTGGTCTCAGTTACTATCAGGTTTCCAAAAGCTGTGATTGCTGCAGTGATTCACAGTTTGCACACTGTATTAAAGCTGATATCCTCACTGCAGCTGCAGTTTGTAGTTAGTCCTGAAGGTCTGCTTTTTTCTCCACAGCACTGGGGATGTTTCTCTGACCCCTGTGCCAGGGGCGATACCCTACCATTGCCTTAGGAATCTTTGCCCCAGTTAGTCCCTAATTAGCAAAGTTACCTTCAGCATTTGGGTTAATAAAGTAGTTATTGGTCAATTCAGTAATTACTTCATTTAAAAGCTGCCAAAAATGTCTTTACACTTCTAGTTCTCTGCTTTCACTGCATTTCATTAACACTCTAAAGCACAACTTCAACCTGGCGGCCCAGTCTGCAAATACATCTTTGAACAACGTCTTAACGTGCCGTTTCTGTTTTTCCGATTGGAATTTTTTTTTAATTTGGGGAGAAAAAAGGATTGTGTTTCTAAAGCAATAAAAAAACAAAGCATCAGCAAAAGACTACAAACTTCCAAACGAACATTACATCGCACCCATGAAGGCGGACTGTAGCTGCAACTGGCCTGGCAGCACCATGGGAGCAAGCAGAAAATTAATTTTGGAAGTTATAGTTCTAAAAGGCTGTGAAATACTTTAAAAAGAAGAGCGCGCGAGCATGGGTCTTACTTACCTTGATGCCACAGCCCAGCCTGGGAGCCCAAACCTCTCGTAGTCCCCCCCGTAGATATCGCGCACCAGCTTGTCCACCTTGGTGCTGTCCCCACACAGGGCCATCTCCAGCGCCTCCTCGAACGTCGAGCAGCCGGTCAACAGGCAGCACAGGCCCAGAAAGGTCCCACCTCCGAGACTGCAGACACAGCGTTAACGCGTATGGCACCCCAAACAACACAGATGCTTACAAGTCGCCCTCTTCGGTGAGGTTGTGGAAAACCCGGGCAGCACGCCTACAGATCAATGGATAATGAGTGCAAAAGTTGCAATTTTTTATCGAAGATGAGTGAAAATGACACACAGGGGCTACGCCGCAATCAAAACAAACAGTATCACCCCTTGCTCCTTATAAGGCGTTTGCTCTCTGCTTACTATTGTAGTAAACGAAGTTCAGGCAGGAAGCCGAGTCAGCGGGCGTAGCCTGCAAAGGAACAGGTAAAGGTTTATTCCATGCCGAGAGGAAAAGAAAAGAGACATAGCATGTGGACACCTGAAGAAGGTTCCACAGCCGAAACGTTGCGCCTCTTTTCCTTCCAGCATGGAAGAAACCTTTTCCTTATCCATTATACATTATATGGGCTCTAAACACCTGAAGAAAAGTGTCCTACCCATGTACCAAACATCATCACATGTCTCCTCAGCCTTTATATATGCCTGTTGGTGGACCTTCTGCCAACACCAACTGCCTATACTGCTACAGGGCATCAGGCACTTAAGACTATATAAAATCACTGTGGAAAACACCTATACAAAAACACATGGTCTGCCAGTGCAGTGTGGAGGAAAACTCTTTTCAGCTCCAATAAAACTCAACTGTAGCTCCAACAGGAAAGCTTTGATTATATACCTTGTGATCACGGATCATGCAAATGCTGTGCTGGAAACTCTGGCTGCACTTGTATAAAATATATGTACACCGAGCATCAAAAGAAAAATCGCTTATGACTGCCACAAATTCATAAAGCTAGTGGGGGGATTACGTCTTTTTTGCAGATATGGATACATTCACTATGTGGATTGGCACTGGTCCTCAAGAGGACTGATGAAAGAGACTGCTCCTGTGAAAGGCGTTGGCTAGCAGCATGAAGCCAGCTCCGGCTGGAACACAGGCTGAAAGAACTGTGACTATTCATTTTATACCAGGTTGAGATGCAGTTTTGTGGGATTGCCCATTTCTCTTGTAAATCGGGGTCAAGTATGGGCCTCCCTTTTGGTTTCTGAGTCCTAGATGTCAAACCACACGTCATCCCAGCTTGTTCTACAAATGTTCAATGGAGCTCACGCTTGGTCCAAAGAGCAATACTGTCACACTCCCATCTCAAAAAAAAAAAAAAAGCTGTTGTCACACGAGGATGTAAGTTGTACTCCTGGAAGGTTGGCACTATGAAAGAAGGCAAGTGAGGCGCCAGGACTTGAATCAAAGTAGCACCACGCAGTCAAACATTTCCTAGTAAAGTTCTGCAGCAAATACACAATCTTTCCCAGAACATCACAGATGGGAAAGTCCTCGTATTGGGGCAAAGCAGCATTATTGAGAGAAACCATGAATCAGTCTAACACTACATTGGGCTGTAACATCTTGCCAGGTTAGAACTGGTGACTGTGAACACCCTAATTTGTAAGTAACCATTGGCTGATTTAATGGTCTACAATGTAGTGATGGCGTGAAAGCTCTGTTCTCTAGGTTAGTGGGGCATACAGCTTCCTAAAGGTGTCCTTCTTGATTTGCAGCAGGATAAATCACCCGTGCTCTCATTAACAAAGCAATTAACTGCTAATTCAAGAAAGATGGTTTGTGTAGTCATAAATGATATTTTAATCAAAATTACACCAAAACCATTATAACAATATCTATAGGCATATATGTCATGTTTCTAAAACATTCATAATGTTAAGTCTTTTGAGGCTCAATATATACATGAAAATCACACTATTGATCTTTCCGTTATGTGAAAAGACAGTGTTTTGTCTGAACACTAAATATGTTATAAGGTAACTGTAACAGCATTAAACAGGGCAATCACATTTGCCATAAAAATTTCAAATCCAGAAAGCAATTCATTCACACACCCGTAGTTACTATTTCGTAAATCCTCCTCTGCCAGGGATTACACTGACACGACATCTCCTGCAGCAGTCAGTTATGTCAACTTGCACGCATGCTTTAGATCATTACTGTTTTTCAGCGTAACCAGAACGTCTTGGATTAAGGAACCAGGAGTCTGGCCAAAGTGTCTTCCTGCATGTTGGAGTTCAAGATTTTCCCCATTGTAATATGGGTCAGGGATACAAAACTATCCCAAAACATGTTTCCAGCTATAATTCACAGTGGACATGTTTTCCTCAACATAAGCTTCACCTTTTTTATGCATACGTATACATACAACGCTAATCATCTGACCAGTAGACACAGCCCCTGCTGTCATTCAGACACACTATGGCCTGTTGTTCTGGTTTGCCCTGGAGCAGGTTTTCCTCCCCACCTGGCCATGACTGGCCGATTCACATGGGAAGGCCCGTGTAGGAAGTTGTCAACATTAATCTTTACAGATGCCTTCTGAATCCCTGGTCTCACAGCCCACGACAGCAAGATACACTTGTGTCCTTTTCCTGGCAGGTTTCCCACTATACCAGTCGTTCTTAAGCATCATCACATATGCTACTACTAAACGCCTTCCATGTGTAACCTCCTTTTATACCCCCAGGGAAACTGTCAGAAACCTCTAGATGGTTCCAGAGGTTTCCACTGCAAATCCAAAGGGCAGGAGGGTTTCAGAAGGTTATTTCAGATTTTTGCAGCATTTTAAAAGAGGTGTGAATAAATGTGACTCATGTTTTTTTTTTGGCCTTCATGTTGGTGACAAGTATAACTTTGCTCTTTGTGATGCTTAAAAAAATCTAAAAATGTATTATAATTTTTACGGCAAGAGGCACGATCCATGGATCATTCTGATGTTTTAATCTGGAGATCACTGTGTATGCAAGCATGGTAAAGTAAGAAAGGGTTTTTACATAAGGATTTAGGGATTCTGTGAAATCGTTAGTTTCATGTGTTTACTGTAACATGTCTCACATGTATTGGTGTTTCAATGACTGAGGATTTTTTTAATTGTTAAATGGGATAGACTTCAAACCCTCAGTCCAACTGAAAGTGGTTGTATTCACTATAAAAATCAGTCTGACCTTTGCTTCTTTCATTTTGAAGGAAGCACATCATTACATTAGCTGTATACACACTGCAGTTCACTTTTCTTACCACCACAGAACACTGCTGCCCTCTAGTGACGACCAAGAAACGTTCTTTAACAATGGTTTGAGACTTTCGTCCAGAACACTACACAGGGTGTAATTTGTTTTTACAGAAAAATGTTGGCAGCCTTTTAAAGAGCTGTGCTTGCAAAGGAAAGCTGGGATGCAACACAATCCAACACATTGTTCAAGTATAGCAGCTACAGTGTACCCAGAAGGGATATGAACCACTGACCCTTGAGTCAGAAGTCCACAGTCCACTGTTGTAATACAGTCTTTTATTACACTTAAGACACACCTTCATAATTCTACAAACAGAACATCTGATAACAGGAATGAATGACTATGGCAGTCAGAATTTCTATATTTTGAGAGCAGCTGACTATGCAAATACTACAGACCAGAGAATAATTTACTGTAGCATGACAAACCTAAATAATATCTTAGGAAAACTAGCAATTTGCCTTTTAAGTATTATAGCAAGTAAAGAAAAATTAAGTTCTTTGACTAATGTGTTGTTTTTTACTGGAAAGTCATTTGCAATTTCAAAACAGTGCTATGTGTAGCAAAACAACTGAATTATTATAAGTTTTTTTTAACAAAGCAATCCTTAATTTTTTCAGATGCTGAAATTTATTCTTCTGCACTTCTCCGACATTTTATGGAGTGATGTTTCAAGGTCAACAGCATTATGCAGCTCTTTACAAAGTGCCTTTGATGTAATAATTCCTATACTACACGGCTTTTTTCCTGCCTAAGGAACCCAGAGCACATTACATACAGGAAGAACTATCACCTTCCACTGAGGGTGACACACACCAGCTCCACTACAAAGCAGATGAGGTGGAAACATTCTGAGAAATGACTTCAGTTGAATTAAGAGGGCATTTACAGAAGACCCAATTAGTATAGACAGACTGGAACAAGTGGCATTTAGCCAGGACAAATGGTTTAACCCCCCTACTCTTTGGAAAACTACCACAATTACCAAGTAGTGAAGTAGTGAGTAGATATAAATTTACAAGGGAACTGCAACGTTATTTTTATGTTTCGGGGTTAGAAAGAATCAGCTTTGATGAGCGAATTTTAAATCACAATAAAAGTAACATCTACACAGTAAAAGCTCCAGCTTACATCACAAAATAGAGGAAACAGATATGCAGCACCATGTTCTGCAATTCAGAATAAGACAACAAAACACCCAGTGATGTGAAGCATCCTTTGTACATTGTAAACAAGCAGGCTTGTGAACACATCTCTGTTAATCCAACAGAAATAGTGCTTTCGACTTCCAAGATGGTTTTGCCGACAAATACTACTTACTTGTTGACTCCGCATGCAGAAAACATTAGAACATTTCTGTACATCACATTACACTAGTCTTCACGAGGACTAGTGAGCAGGAAGGGCTCCATCACGTTGCACTTTGCGCGAGCTCTCGCTCTTGCCGATGGCAGGACCAGGGGTTTGTGACAAGGTAACGTACAGTACTTTCACAAAGTTCACAATGCTGTGCTCAATTATATACCGTCAATTAATTTATTTCGTTACCGTTTTTGAAATCTCGGTCTGAGGAATTGGCACTACACGCCTCATCCCAAAGTACGGCACTACGGCCCTGTCAGCTTAAGAGGCACTAGATTGAAAATGCTTGTCCAGTGGGAAGAGCTCCACCTACTGGTCAAGCAATACCACCTGCAGCAGCGACCTGCTACTCATAGGAAGGCACCCTCTCCAACACTCACTAAAACCCTGCCTCGCTTACTTTCCCAAATATAACAACTGCAGACTACAAAATCATAACTCTACTGTAGGGCAGAACTTTGACCACGCAGATGCTCACCATTAATGAATGGAATTGTGCATTTTTTAAATATTTCTGTTTACATTTTGCCAAAGATACAGAATCACAGCTCCTCATTCTTAAGACGATGAATGAGTCCATTCCTTGCAAAGGCCTTTAATGTGCTCTTATGGTTTCTTAGGGGATTCCTTTAAAGTCAGGAAATTAAAGCACTAATAGGATTCTATTCATAATAGATAAAGATATGTCTATTGACAGCTTGCGTATTTTTTTTTATGCAGCAGTTTACCATCTTTTTTTTGCCAGTGATCCATGCTTTTTATGCGTCACGCTTTTATACCATGGAGATTATCATTACGTTCATTTCAACTAAACGCCCTGAAAATACATCCTAAAAATGCACATGAAAAAAGCCAGTAAAATCTCACCTGGTCCCAGTGACCCGTTTGTAATGGTCTTTGGAATAGACAGCCAGAATGCTCACCCCAGAGCCGATGTTGACCAGCAGCAAGGGGAAAGGGTTCTCCAGATTGTAAGGCTTTTGATGACACAGGTCAGGATCTGTGGGGTTTTCAAAATAGTAGCACTCCGAGTGTCCACCGAGTGAATCGACATACAGCACCCCTTTGATGAGGCAGTCCAGTTCGTCCAGCTTATGCAGCTGGAGGTCAGCCATCTGGAAGAAAGCAGATGGGGGAAAAAAAAACAGGAGTCAGGAGCACCGAGGGGAACGTTCCTTTTATTAACAGAATTTGTTAAAAAGACACGGGGGAGCACCTACTGTGCGGAAGTCGGCCTCGAATTTGTACGCCCCCCCTCCAGTGGCACAGAGCGTGGTGTGCAGGCTGGAGAAGTGCTTGTCTCTGCCCATCTGGAGGAAGGCGGGCATGTCTTGGGTGGGGAACCGGATGAAGTGCAGGCTGCCCTTCCGCCCGCACAGGGTGAGGTCCTCGAGCTCCAGGTGGACGTCCCGGATGCCCGTGGAGCCGTAGGCCACGTTGGACGTGAGGTACCTGCGGATGCTCTTCAGGTTCTCCACCTCCTCTTCCTCCTCCTCCGCCGTGATGTCCTTGGGCTCGAAGTACACCAGCTTGACCAGGGTTCCTCCGATGTCCATGCCGAACCACGGGAACGCTGCACAGAGAGAGGCATTTGACACCATCTGCCACACGGGCACTGCCAATGAGAGGGGAGGCTGGCACAGGTGGAAGGGAAATCACGTGCACACCGCGGCGTGTACCATGACATCACCAGCTTGGGGCCGTTCTGACAAGGGGAACGTGGGGTTTGCATTCACGGAAGTTCACACTTTGCACCCTTGAAGAATCTAACGCACTGGTGCCTAATACCAGGCGGCCCGGCGGCGCAGTGCTCAGCACTGCTGTCCGGGGCCCTTGGTTCCATTCCCTGCGTGTGCCCCTGTGTTCGCATGGCTTTCCACCCACAGCCCAAAGGCAAACTGGTAGGTTAACTGGTTTCTGGGGGAAAATGGCCCAAATTGGTGCGAGTGTGTGTGCCCTGAGATGAGCTGGTGTCCCGAGCAGGGTGTATCCTGCCTTGTGCCCGCTGCCTGCCAGGAGAGGCTCAAGCGCCCCCACGACCCTAAACTGGCTAAAGCAGTTACAAAACGGATGGATGCTCAACACCCACATTTTCCACACGCTTTGTCCCACTAATCCTCCAAAGCATGTATACATCAGGACTAATCGGAAAGAGCCCCGATGTCAAAGGCGCCTCGGTGACAGTCTACACCTGCCTACACAACAGGCTCAGATTCCCGAGCGGTCTTTCCACTGGATCACAGGAGCAGCATGACAAAGCGCCACCTCTGGCAAAAGCATGTGCACTATGAATTATGCATAGCCGTCTCTACCCCCCCCCAATTAGTTTACTGTACTGTTCTCCAAAGCCAGTGATGTAATCTGCGACACACCTTCTTTCCAAAGAAATCCTACCAATGTGTACAATCAACGAGAACACGTTAGCTAAGATTTTAGCGTCTGCCTTACGGCGCCTGTTTTTTTTTTTGGTACATATAAATGCATCCTAAACAATTACATTTAATGACATGCTCTTGATTAAACGGCCAATTCAATTACACAGCACCCCCGTGTCTATTTAGACAACTGCGTTGCCTATTTCGACATGTATGGTTAATTCTGAATTGAAGGGAGAAAGAAAAGGGGCTATGCGGCTACCGCGGTCTCATACAGTCCAGCCCTGTCAGGTCCCACTGCTGTTATGCGAGGAAACGGCGTCCCTGGTTCCCGTTCTCACGGTTTTCCACGTTAGAAGAGAAAGAGCAATCTCTAAACCTACGAGGCCTGTTCTTTTTCAGGGAGTCGAGCCTTTGCCTGGACCTGGAGTTCGACGGCAGCCGCTGCCTGGAGGCTGCTGCTCCGGCCGCGGGCACCGCGCTCTCCGGGCCGCCCTCCGCTCTCACGCCGCCCGCTGGCTCCGTCCTTGGCGGCCGACACTCCTTCCCCACCGCCGTCTCCCCCTCCTCCTCCTCCCCTTCCTCTGCGGCTGCTTCGTCTTCACAGTGATAGCCATTCAGCTCCATGCCGAAACAATCGCGAAGAACCGAGACACGCCAAACAGCAAGACACACAGGCTCAGCCCTTACGAAACACAATCTTTCACGCCAGACACTTCTGCTTTTCCACGCAAGGGCTGTTTACATGGCTGGTGCGAAGTGAAAGCGCCGATACGGTAAGGGCGCTGTGGTGATGCAGCTGCAGTTGGATTGAAGACAAGTAGAACCAATCAGCGTCAAAATTAGGCGTCGGTAATTTTTTTTTTGGACCAATTATTTCTTTCTCCCTCCCCTCTCCTCCAAAGGCGGGTTTAAGCATGTCAGGTAGTCCTGTCATTGTACTGGCTATGCGAAAAGGAGTAGAATTATCCATCCATCCATCCATTTTCTAACCGCTTGATCCGATACAGGGTCACGGCGGACGCGGAGCTTATCCGGGCAAGCAATGGGCGCAAAACGGGGTACGCCAGTCCATCACAGGACACTCCCAGACACGCACACACTCATACCAAGGTCGATTAACCTGCCATTATGACTGGTCTGTGGGAGGAAACCCATGCAAATACACGGGGAACATTGACTCCATGTAGAGAGCACCCCAAAAATTGAACCCAGGGCCCCGTTTTGAAATAA